ACTGAACTGAAACCATGATTAACATTTTAGTACTAGTACATCTATCTTTAGTATCTCATCTTTCCCCCTCACCCCATCCCCATACTGGGGATTGAACTCGGCTCCCATATGTAAACACATTAGCTCTACCACTGAGCTACAATGGCCATTTTATCTTTCATCATCAATCCAATCAGACATGAGTATGTCGAGTCTCAAGAATCAATGATGTAAACAGCAAGTGAGTGGCTAGAGAAACATACAGTGCTGGGTATTGATAGATGTATATGCAACCAACTTCTAAATCTATAAACTTTTAGTCAACGCTGGGCTCCACCATTACTCTGAATAAAACCAAGCAGTGAAGATTGTACCAGAAACCACTCAACGTGCAGCATGGAGTTCAAGATGAGGTTTTCAACTAACAGGTAAACTTGACTCAGCCAGAGGATTAACATAATGAAAACCTCTCAGCTGCCTTTTCACCCACCTATCTCCCAGGCCTTTGTCTCATGGCCAGAGTAGGGACATCAGCAGTGGATGACCTGATGCTTCCCTATTCCTGACATGTATGTTACCTTAGGGATAACACAGGCATGTACTCATGCTACCTGAAAACACATATAACATCTAAACAAACTTAGATTTTAAAAATTAGCAATAACTATCTTCCCTGCAAAAGACATGATTTCTTATAAAATGACCTCTTATAAGCTGATGTGTATGAGCTGATGTGGTAGCACAATCCCAGCACTCATGTGGCAGGGCCAGGGTCAACATGACTTTAAGGGCAGCCTGGGCTATTCAGGGAAACCTTGTTTAATTTTGCTGGGTGTGGTGGTACACACCGTTAATCCCAGCACTTGGGAGGCAGAGGCAGGTGGATCTCTGTGTTCAAGGCTAGCCTGGTCATCATAGCTCCAGGCCAGCTGAGGCAACAGGGAGACCCTGTCTCAAAAAAAGACCAAAATAAAATAAAATCTTCCCTTTCAATCTAGACCCATTAGCATTTGTTGATAAAATGTTTAAGCTTGTATTTAAAAATAGTTAACATTAAAGACTGAATAGTAATTAGGTCAAGTAAACAAGAATTTGAATAGTTCTGAAGCTGGGGTTTATTATTTGCAAAAAACCTAAGCTGTAGAGACCTGCAGGTGGGACATTAGGGAGCCTTACCCCTGTAGGAAAAGATTAATTTGAGAGACTCCCAAGTACAATGACCAATAAGAGGATGAAATGAACTTAAAATCTGAAAGCTGGAAATGTTTCTAAAAGCATATCACAGGTTTGAGTGTCATTCTTTGCAGTAAAGCTTAGTAAGGACCAGCATGTGATGGACACCATTGTGCACCCTTCAGCAAAGCCCTATGTATCTTGCTGTCCTAACACCATCAGGCCTCCTTTCATTGACTACTGGGTACCCAGCATTTAGAGCAGTGCCTAGCACACACTGATACTCTGAACCATCTCCATTTTTTTTCTTTTATTCCCAGAAAGATGTCTCACACCAGGACTTTCTATGTATCCTGATACCTAAGGAGCTACTGTGGTAGGACCTCCCAGAACAAAGAAAAAAGAATGCAGTGTGGTCTGTGCCTGAGTGCAGGTACACAGGTTTACCTGTCAAGGCAATCAGGATACCTGTGTTACCACGTATGGGAGACCAGAAAACTGAACTAACGAGGCACTAACGAGGGTATGAAAGGCTGGGTCTATCTTTTGAGTATGAACCCAGAGCCAGGTGCTAGCACAAATGAACTGCTTCCTGGAGAAAAGCAAGCCTATTGTCTCAGCTCTCTGCATATAGCACCTTCAACACTGCAGAAGCCTAGAGACAGCATGGCATCAACATCACTTTGGGCAAGTACCTGAAATTTGAGAGGGGTAACAAGCACTTCTGTTTGATGTTCTGGTTTAAGAATGGAAAGTCCAGAGAAGGCCCAAGTCCTGAGCAGATTGGAACACTGGCTGCTTGCATGAAGCATGGCTTCTGCCTCTGTAAAACACAAGACCACAGTAGCACCTGCACTGAAGGGTGATGGTGGAGCTTTAAGGGTGAGCACGGAGAGCAGTAAGGCATCAATCAGTTAGGCACACAAAGCCTACCTTTGCCCACCTGAGAAACATCTTACCACAGGCAAGATGTTCAACCTCTTTAGATCGTCACTTTCTTGTATGTAAATCGGAAGATCTGGACTTTGCAAGACTAGATGTTAACTAGATATTAAAAAGTAGAGGCATGCATGGCTGGAGAGATGGCTCAGCGGTTAAGAACACTGACTGTTCTTACAGAAGACCCAGGTTTGAATCCCAGCACCCACATGGCAGCTAACAACTGTCCGTAACTCCAGTTCCAGGGGATCCGCCAGCCTCTTCTATCCTCCATGGGCATTGCACAACACGGGTGCACTTACCTACATGCAGGCATAACAGTCATACACATAAAATAAGTATTTTTTTTAAAAAGTAGAGGCATGCAGGAGACATTGCAGAGTGCAAAATGAGCACCAGTGATAACCATTGATACCCACTTCTAGCAAATACTAAGCTGTGGTTTACTAGGAAGACCTGGAAACCACCATGCTATATGGAAAAACCATTTACATTGGCAAAACGTCTCACATGCTTTCAGAAGATCTGCATTTATCAAAGTTGTACCTGTATACCAAAAACCAACGACTATAACAAAGGTTTTGCATTAAAGTCTGCCACGTGCCAGGTGTGGTGGCACACGCCTTTAATCCTAGCACTTGGGAGGCAGAGGCAGGCAGAGGAAGGCTAGCTAGCCTGGTCTACATAACTAATTCCAGGCCAGTTGGGGCTACAGGGAAACCCTGCCTCAACAATAAATAAAAATAAAAATTCTGCCACAGATAGACTATCATGAAGGTTCACAACCGGTCAAATGCAGAGAATTAAGTGTCTGTGAGATGCCCAGTCCTAAGTGACACATCTACAATGCAACCTCTACACCTAAGGCTCAGGAAACATCGTGGTACAGGGAGGCAGAAAGAATATTAATGCATTCCTGAACTCTCACCAATGAAGCTTCCTTATGCAGTGGATGGTGATTAACCCAGAAAGCACAACTGGTCAAAATGCAGGGAGTGAAAGACTAGAGTGTTAACCCTGATAGGACACTTCTATCAAACATCTGCCACCCAGGGCTCAGGGATCATTTTACATAAAGAATATAAGAGCCAGTGGTGGTGGATGACCACAAGGAAACAGTTTTCTAGACAGCATATGAACTCACATCAACAGTAACAGCAGGCACAAGACCCACATAAGTTCAAGCCAGACAAAATTCCAACATAGAAATGGGGAACTAAGAAGCCCCAACCTTACCTAAGAACTACTGGTAATCAAAAGTTGCTGGGAGAGGGAGAGTCAGTTTTCTTTAAGTGTGTGATGCTAGATAGATTAACCAGCTTTAGTGGATGGACCCACACCAAAGGGCATTTGGGGACACAAATTTGACTTGATAGGCCTTTATATGACAGTACATGGAATCAAGCAGGGGGGGGCATTAAGAGGGCTGCATGTAGGGGAGGAGTCTAAATGATCAAAATAAGAGTGTATGAAATTCACAAAAACCCAATTAAAAATTTAAGAAATTGTGTCACAGTTAAAATACAAAAACCAGAATACCTTCATCACAGTTGTTCTCCTTGGAGCTTTTGGCACCACTAGGGGCTACTTGGCAGTGATGTTCTTGGCAGCCACATTTGGGAGGAGGAAGGGGATACTGTACGCTACTGGATCTTAGCGAGCAGAGGACAAGGATGCACTCAGTATCCTACAGTGCACAGAAGTCACCCACATTAACCATCTAACCAAGGACCACTGAGATGGGGACATGGCTAAGGGGCCTTGATGTGCATGACAAGGGCAGGCAAGGATTAAACCATACCAAGACAATAGATTGCCTTTGCCACCACCTGGAAACATGGCTGGAAACAAGCCTGACACATCAGCCCTAACAGAACAGTCACAGCAAAGCAAACTTGGGACCCCAATATCCCAAGTTATGTCCTCTTTTGCCCTTTGTTTGCCTGAATGTATGTAAGTGCACCACATGCATATAATGCCCACTGAGGCCAGGTTTTGGATCCCCTGGAACTGGAGTTACTGACTGCTGTTAGTGACGATAAGGGTGCTGGGAACCAAACCCAGGTCCTCTGCAAGAGGAGCCATCTCTCCAGCCCTTTCTTTGGCACTTTATAGGCTACAATTATTGAAACACCAAGAATTTCTAGCCATGCTGTGTATGGTCCAAGTGCCACACCCCCTTCCCCCAAAAGCTGATTGGCAACTTTATCCCACTGTGGGACACTAACAGAGTGTAAATGTATCTAGCCATGTTTGGGAAAATGGCTAGGGTTAGGGTCATCAGGAGGAACCCATGATTGAACCCTGGCATCTCTGTGAGAAATCAGAATACACCTGTTCTGTGTCTCTTGTCATATGATGCCCTGAGCCTCTGCTAGCGAGAAGCCATAAGCTGGCAGGCACCTCAGACCGCCAGAACCATGAACCCAAAGAATTCCTGTATAAAGTTAGCCAGTTTCAGCTATTTTGTTACAGCAACGAAAACAAAACAAAACAGTTACATTAGCCTTTTGGGGTTACACTGCCATATGCTCACATAATGACAAGTAAATGGTCTTCAGAAAATAAATTTATCATCTATGCCTATGTTTAGATTATTTCCAAGAGTCTTTGGGTTTGTGATGGGGTCTCACTGTGTTGCTCAGGCTGGCCTTGAGCTTCTGGGTAAAGCAGTCCTCCTGGTCTCAGCTTCTAGAGTAGCCGGGACCAGGTATGCCCCACCATGCCTGACTCTGTTCAATGTTGCAAGAACTAAACAGTTCTATATTCAGTGGTGTAACAAATTTTAATTCAAAATAGACATTCTGAAAATTAAAAAAAAATAAAATAAAGTCCAACAAGCTCTGAATTTACAAGAGTACACCAATAGTCACAGACCAGTTTCACAACTGCCTCAAAATGCACATTTATCAATTACATGCAAGTGTTTAATTTTTAAAAAATCTATGTAACAACACTGCAGGACTTCCCAGAGGCCATCAAACATTCCAGATACTCTACCTAGAGGTGGGCAGGCCCCTCTGATGTACATCACCAGAGATGACTTGGACATGGGTGAGTTGGTCCTCATCACCAGTTCTGGTGCTTTATTTTAAACCATGAAAAACCAAGGTTTGGCATCTGAAGGACTGTGAAGATTATCAACGCCCTATCCCATTCATCTGGACAGCTGAGCCAGAGAAAGCCTGTTTCTCCAACACTAATACATCTATCCCAAGATATTCTAACACAGATGGAGCTCCTCACCTGCCCATCACCCTGAAACCTGTACTCCATCTCAAGTAGTGTTACATGCAGGACAGGACTCCATGTGTGTCACAGCCCTTCCCCTCTACGAGTTCATGAGCAGTTCCAGGGAAAGAAGTATTTGCAGCGTTTTCTCAGTTTATTCTAAAGGCACTAAAAATTTATTATCTTACCTTTGAATGGAGAAATGACTTGTATCAAAAGACAAAAGTCTGCACCAGAAAGTGTTTCTGCTCCTACAGACTTTATTTATAAAGCAACACTTGATTATTTGCTATATACCAAACTTTGGGCTCAGGATATTTTTAATAAACAAAAACATTTGGTTTTTCTATGAATTATAATATTTTAAAAATAATTTTCAGAACAAACCTGAAAAGGTATAAATCAAATCTGCAATCTCATCAGCAAACGGCATTCAGATTCAGCAGAAGTTAATGCTTCAAAGTATATTCTTAGGGAGCCATACACAGCACAGTGCTCACTTCTCTAACAAGTGCTGTCACTAGCTGCTGTCTGTAAAGCTGAGGGCAAGCAATGCTTTAATGTTCTGTTAATCAAGTGTTTTCAAACAAGCAGAAATGTCCTAAAATGAAAAAAAAAAAACAAGTATTTGTAGATCCCAGGTTGCTACTATTGATACTGACACTCCTGGGCAAACAAGACGTGCATGGAATACCAATGATTGAATTTACACGACAGGAAAAAAATCACGAGAAACGGTTGCAAATCAAACTGCAGGAAACAGTACATCTGAAGTATTTGCTTTCTTATCCAACATCTTTCTGAGCACCTGGAACACCTTGAAGGGCCTCAGACACTGAGAACACAGTGAGGAGGGCCTCCAGAGTCACCGGAAACCACTGCCTAGGACTTCAGGCTTACTCTATAACAGGTTTTGTGATTCATACTCAAAATTCAATCTGTGTTTGACATTTTTAAGTTCAGACATATCAAAACCTAGAAGTACAGAGGGCTTGTGAGTTTTTATTGCTTTCATGCAAATATACCTTCTTTTTCCAAAAAATGAAGCCACGTCAATTTTCCACACCCACAAGAGTGAAGACAACAGTTCCACTTCTTTCCTACTAGGATATGGTCGCTTATGGAAATAATCTCTAAGAAACTGCTTCTTGTCCTCATAGGACCGGCCTTCATACTTACTGGGATCTAACACTAACACCTGGAGTGAGTCATCACTGGCCCCTGGTCCCTCTGTCCTGCTTTCATTCCTCTGTCTCTTCAAAGGTACAGCACTCAGTCCTTTCTCTGGACCTGGAGCTGCATCAGTGTTTAGGCTGAGTGGAGGCTCTTCCCCATCCCTCTGGCCTTCTGCCCCTAAATGGCCTTCAGGCAGCTTTCTCTTTACAGGAACAGCAGAATCAGGAATCACTTCCCCATTGACTAACAGGAGTTCACTGCTCTCAATAATACCTGGCTGGACTTGCAGGTCTGAGCTGCTATCCTTGGGAGCACTTCTACACCGCAGCAAATGGACAGCAATGGCTGCCAGGGTCATATTTCCAGTGTAGACCCCACAGCAGTGGATACACTTGAAGGCAGGAGACCTGAGCATTGTGTGGACTGTAGGCATGACGTGGTGCCTCTCCTTCAGATGCAGCTCATAGGCGTCAGCAGTCAGGAATGTGCCAAAGCAGAAGGGGCAGGTCAGCTTCTGTTTACTAGGCATCTTTGGCACAACCTCAGGCTGAGGCCTCACCTTAACATACACAGGCACCAGTGACTTGGAGTGTATCCCAGCAAGGATGGCCAAGTACACCTCCCGTTCCCCGAGTTTCTCTCGTGGCAGTATGGTGATGAAATCAAGATGGGGGAACAGGAGGTTGCCATTAGCATCCAAGTCAAGCTGGAAACCTCTGTTACTATAATCCATAGACAGCCTTTTCTTGCCCAGATGCTTAGTCCTGCTGTGTTCCACAAGGCCCCGGACATCATGGAAAGTACATGGACAAAATAAGCACCCCAAGCCATGCATGAGCAAGTGGTGCATCAGTTCCTCCTGCGAGACCAGGCATTTACAAGAGAGACAGCGCACCGTCTTCTCCCTCATCCACTTCAGAAATGGGGCACATGCAGCCAGCTTTTCAGGTTCAAGTTTCTCACCAGACTTGGCCTCACTCTGCTTGTGAGCTACTTCCATGTGAACCTGGTAGACATTGGAAGGGAAGAGCTCATTGCAAACCTGGCAGAGCTGGGACTCACTCTGCTTGTGAGCCACTTCCATATGAACCTGGTAGACATTGGAAGGGAAGAGCTCATTGCAAACTGGGCATGTTTTCCACTGCTTGGCTTGTTTGAGTGCCTGGTTCGCATCTGCCATAGGAGAAGTGGCCTGAACAAACACACTAGGGGCAGTGCTCACTATCACCTGTGGGGAGGGCAGGCTGGGCAAGGAGCTGGCCATCTGTGTGCCAGAGCCTGAAGGCAAGAATTGCACAGGCACCTGGGGTGGTGCAACAGTTGCAAGGCCTCCACCAGAGGTCACAGGCAGAGTGACAGACACGGGGGCCAGGGTATAGGTGGGGATCCCATTCACCTGTTTCCCTGTGGGAATGAGTTGTCTGAGAATAGAGCCTGAAGTAAGGAAGGTAGTGTTCTGCGAAGTTCCAGCTCTCACTGGCTGGCTCACAGGCAGGATGCTGGTGCTGACAGACTGACTGAGCTGCAGTACACCAGGCCTAACTGGCGGGCCAACAGGAAGGACTCCTGATGTGACAGGTTGACTGAGCTGAAGAACACCAGAGTTCACACCCTGGTTCACAGGGACAACACCTGAGGGGACCGTCTGGTTGGAGGAGAGCAGTCCGGGTGGCACCACTTGGCCTGCAGGGAGAACCCTCAAGGGCACTGTCTGGCCAGGAGGGAGAACCCTCGATGGGGCTGTCTGGCCAACAGGAAGAACTGCTGACTGGACCACCTGGCCAGTGGGTAGGACCCCAGAAGTTGCTGTCTGTCCAGGGATCACCCCAGCAGGGGTCACCTGGCCTGCAGGAAGGATACCTGACGGGACTGCCCGACCAACAGAAATCACCCCTGGAGAGGCAGCCTGCAGAACCCCAGGGTTGACAGAGGGTCCTGCAGGTAGGACACCAGGCCCCACAGGTCTGTTTATGGGCCCCATGGGCTGAGTGAGGGGTAAAACTCCAGGGCGGACAGCTTGATTGATGGGGCGGACAGCTTGATTGATGGGAAGAATGCTTGCTCCAACAGACTTAGTCACGGGACCAACTGGTTGAGTCAGGGGCAGCACAGGAGTATTCGCAGGCTGATTAAGTGAAACACTGTGGGACAGAAAGACAGGTGGGGGAGCTGAGGGCTGCAGGGTGAGGCTGCTCTGGCACACAGGCAGAGGGCTGGAGACCAGAGCTACTTGAGACTGGGCAGTGGCAGGAGGGGAATGTGTAAGGTTCCCAGAAGTGCCCTGGGCCACAGTCACTGGCTGCACGGTGCCTGGACTTTGACTGTTCTGCGGCAAAGCAAGGTGAAAGCAAGGAGGAGGGGCTGCAATGCCTGGAGCACTGCTGTTTGGTGGCAACGCCAACCGGGCAGCTGGTTTTGGCGCAATTTGCATTTGCTTCAGAAGTCCAGTTCTCTTGATGTGTTCTGAAATCACAGACCTCAGCTTATTCTCCAAGTCCCTGTGTACATCAGATGTCAAAATGTGGTACATCAAGGCATCCTGACTACCGGCGTTGGCGCTGCATTTCTTACAGTAGTATTTGTCAGATGGTGGGATCTTATCCACAGAAAGAGTATCATTTGCTTTTGGTTGCTCTCCTGTTTCCTCAGACCGCAGACCAAAGTAGGAGTTAATTAAATAATGAAAATGGGCCACCAGCACGTGCTTCTTCATGCTGTAGTACAAAGTGTTGGAAAAGTTACATTTTAAGCATGTGAAACTTATCACATCACTCCTTGATGTCTTTGCCTCACCCAGAATGTTCACAGTGTAGCTCTGGACTTTTCGAGCAGGTGCATGAAACATCCTGAAGTGCTTGCCCACCACCCTGGGCTGCGAGGCAAATGGGCAGTTGGGGCAGGGGATCAGCAGCTCCTGGTCAGCCTCATCTTCATGGTAACGATGTAAATGATTCTTGAGTGAAGTGAGCACCTTCGTCGAGTACTTACAGAGGCTGCAACAGTATGGCTTTGTTCGGTATCTCTGTCAAAAGAAAAGAAAGTCTTAGGCAGAGTATGAAGTTACAAGAGGCTTCCATTCTGTATTTTTCACATTCCTCTGTGCACTGCAATGACATAAACCCAAGGAGCAATGTGTTCTCCCAGCTGCATGTTTAAGCTGGTGGGCCATGTCTGCAGTCCCTTTGGTCTGGACTTAGCCTCCACCATGGTGGGTACTCAATGTCCCATGACTAACAAGCAGTGTCTAGGCACAGTTGTACTCTAACAAAACTGTGTTGATGGGTACTTATTCCAATTCCATATAATTTTCACGTTCCATATAGTATTGTTTGGCGGGTTTTTTTTTTTTTTTTTTTTTTTTGGTCTTTTTGAGACAGGGTCTCCCTGTAGCCCCAGCTATTAGAACTCACTATGAAGATCAGGCTGACCTTGAACTCACAGAGATCAGGCTGTCTCTGCCTCCTAAATGCTGGGATTAAAGGCATGTGCTAACAACTAATCTTAGCTTATGGACTATACAAATACTGGATTTAGGCCAAAACTCATGGTTTGCTGACATCTAAAAGCTATCTCCTAAAACCACAATCTCGGCACTTCACCTTGTACTGAACTTTGAATTAAGGGCATCAAGAAAAATAAACTCAATTTTCTACAAGTTACTTTCCTCTTCCTCACCTTCTTCTTTCCCTTAGTTTTTTATTCCAAATTCTAAAACTTGTGGAATTCATCTACAACTAACTGACCTGGCATTTGACTTGTTAGACCCATCTTCACTGTCTTTTTCATTGCTCATTCCCTGAGACAGTAAGAGCCAAACAAGTAAATGGTGCTCAGCACATGCAGGTAGCCCAATAAACTGTAACAATAGCAGAGAAACGCCAACAGTGCCTACGCAGAGGTCCAGATCTACAACACAGCACTGACTATACAGAATTCTATGTAAAACCATGAGCTGCATTAGGAAGCCAGGCCTGCGGCACAGGCTTCTAATCCCAACTACCGCTGAGGCCAGAAGATGAAAAGCTAAAGGATGCTCTAGGCAACTTGGTAAAATCCTGTCTGGGGAAAAAAGTAAAGTAAAACAAGAACTAGAGGTAGACTAGTAGTGGAGCACTAGCCTCACATGTGCAAGGCCCTAGGCTCAATCTCTAGTACTACAAAAAAAACAAACGAAAGAATTCAACAAGTCAAGGTCTAAATACCACTTACATTACGGAGTACTATCACATTCTTTTTTTTTTTAATTTATTATTTTTATTTTATGTGTACTTGTATTGCCTGCATGTAGATAAGTGTACCCGTGTTGTGCAATGCCAGCGAAGGTCAGTAGAGGCTGTCTGATCCCCTAGGACTGGAGTTATGGACAGTTGTTAGCAGCCATGTGGGTTCTGCAAGAACAACCAGTATTCTTAACCACTGAGCCATCTCTCCAGCCCCAGGAGTACTATCACTTCCAGTCTCATGAAGATTCAGAGACCCCAGAGCATGTGAACCACAGAACTCCTTTTTCTGTTCCACAATGAGGATGCTAAGACCAAAGCAAACTAGACACTTCCCAATAGGCCAATAGCAAAGGCCCAGGGCCTCAGACACAAATAATTAACTGCTGTCAGTTTTCTGAATGCTGCACTAAGGCTACACTACATTTGTTTAAACACAAACAAAAATAATACCTTTTTTCCTCAATAATAAATTAGCTTTAGCTTACTCTAACATTTTCACTTTATATACTTAATCTTCACAACTATTTTTGCAGTGCATGTGTGGGTGTGTACACATGCAGAGGCCAGAAGTCAACATCAGGTCTCTTTCTCAGTTGCTCACAGTGGAGACAGGGTTTCTCACTGAGCTCCAGTGATCCCTCTGCCTACATCCCCTCCCCTGATGCCCAGTGTGCTAGGCTTATAAATGCATGTCATCACCTTGCTTTTTCATAGGTGCTGAAATTCTGAACTTGGGTACTCTTTCTTCAGTGGCAGGCACTTTACTGCCTGAACCATCTTCCTAGCCCCCACTTTCTGGCTTTTATAATACAAAACAAGCAGACCAATTCCTTAAAACACAAACATTGTATACCTGCATGAAAAACATTTTCTCTCCTTTTATCTTTATTCCACATGCTTTTACTTTTAATTTTCAGTACTGTTTTTATTTCCAAACTTTTGTTAAAAGTTGGGACACATGAGGCTGGAGAGATGGCTCAGACTGTTAAGAACACTGACTGTTCTTGTAGAAGACCCGGGTTCGAATCCTAGCACCCACATGGCAGCTAACAACTGTCCATAACTCCAGTTCCAAGGAATCTGACAGCCTCTTCTGTCCTCCGTGGGCACTGCACTGCACAACACGGGTGCACTTACCTACATGCAGGCATAACACTAGTACACATAAAATAATAAAAAAAAATTTTTTTTAAGTTGGGACACACACGTACTTCCACCTAGGCCTGTGCAGGGTTAGGATCAGGACCACCATCTCCTACTTCCCATTCCATCCCAATGGAGGGTCTTTGGGACAGTAACACCAAGAGCTGACTTCCTGGGCTGGCAGTATCCTCCTCTGGGTCACTCCTGAGACCATCTGGAGCTGTGAGAGGTTGCTGCACTTGCTAGGAACGTGCTGTGGTGGTTTACCTTGTCTGCTTTCTCTCAACATAGACAGGTTCCAAGCAAGTCAGTGTACCAGGAACACAGCTCTAAGTCTATGTTTTCAAGCAGCCTGTTGAGGTTACAGAAAATTCAGCTAGAGAAACCTCAAGTGTCTTCTTCTAGATGCCATTCATACTCTGTGACTTCACCTCAAACCTAAAGCAAGGGTCTTCAAGACCTTAGTCCTATTTTTTGTTTTTTTTTTTTGAAATAGGGTTCCTATCTAAGCCTGAAACTTGCTATATAGACCAGGCTGGCCTCACAGAGATTTACCAGCCTCTGCCTCTGCCTCCAGAGTGTGATATTAAAAGAGTGTTCTACCACACCCTAAGTGAGGTTCTTGATGTTGTAACAGGTACTGCAATCATCCCAGCATTTCATCAATATCTTCTCAGTAGCTTCCTCATTTGTGTGACAACTTAACAAAACTCCTCAAATAGTGGGCTTCAAAATACCTGTTGACCTGCTGGTTGGACCAGAAAGGGGATATATATGGATAGAGAAATACTACTTTGATATTGGGATGGGGCTGAGCATGTAGGTCCAGCAGCAGAGCCCTTGCTTAGCTACGTGAGGCCCTGGATTTTGTCCCTAGCAACACAAAAAGAAAGAGAAACAGAGAGCAGAGACAGATATTTGGATGATGATTACTAATAAAATGAGGGTGTTCGGGAACACTACCAACAAGTAAAATATGGAAAACTATGTATTTCTCCAAACAGTACTTTCCCATTTGCTTGCAAAGCAATTTAAAAATGTATCTTGGAAAAGGAACTGGTTCGTAGTATACCTGTAGTATACTGGCAGCATGTGTTCACCAATACACTGCAAGACCATGGGTTTCTCAGTGTCAGAATAGAGTACTTAAATTGTGGCCTGCACTGTTGTTCTCTACAAGATAATTTTCTCCTCAAACTGTGTGTGTTTTACATGTATGTGTGTGGGTACACATTTGGTGTGTGTACAGAGGCCTCAGGAGGATGTCAGGTGTCTTGTTGTCATTCTCTGCCTTACTTTTGCTAGACAGGGTCTCTCGGTGAACCTAGAGCCAGGCTGGTAGCCTCCTGTTTCCACCTTTCCACAGTGCTTGGGTTACAGGCTCAAATGTGGCCACACCCAGCTTTTTACAGGAGTGCTAAGGATCCAAACTCTGGTCCTCATGCTTGTGTAGCAGGCACTCTTACCCAATAAGCCGTCTCCCTGGCCCCTATCCTCAAATATTCTGAGCCTGGGACTGATTTGGCCAGCTATGTATGAAAGTCCATTCAGACATCTGTTTCCAGGAGAGAGGTCTTTATTTTCAAATCTTTTTGAGACAGGGTCTCCCTGTAGCCCCAGCTAGCCTGGGACTCTCTATGTAAACCAGGCTGGCCTCAAACTCACAGAGATCTGCCTGCTTCTGCCTCCCAAGTGCTGGGATTAAAGGTGCGCACCACCACGCCTGGCACAAGAGAGATCGTTTTTTAAGGCAATATCACTTTGCTTTAATGAGCACTACACCATGCGTAGTATTTACAGATATCAAACATTTCGTAAGACTACCATCCACATAGAACACTTTAAAAAGTTACTCTAGGGGTTGGGGCTTTAGCTCAGTGGTAGAGTGCTTGCCTAGCAAACGCAAGGCCCTGGGTTCAGTCCTCAGCTCTGGAAAAAGAAAAAAGACAAAATAACAAAAAGTTACTCCAAAATACTGGATAGAAATCAGTCCATTCTTATTAATATAATAATAAATTTGAGCTCTTCAGTCAGTATCCACAATATATAAAATTTAATTTATAAAAACTATTTGTAGACCTGCAAGACGGCTCAGTAGGCAAAGGCACTTGCGACCAAGCCTGATACCTAAGTTCAACCCAGTAATCTACATAATAGAGAAGTCTGAGGAAATATTAAAAAATTCAGAAAGCTATTCCATATTTAGCCATATTTCTTTTTTTCTCTGTGGTCAATAGTTGATCGTTTTCTGGAGGGCATCCTACTACTTCCCTTTGTCTGGGATGAAATACAGCTCAAAAATATGAGGAAACGGAGTGCGAAATCCACAAACTCTGGATGTAGGAGCCTCTGGTTTCAAGAAACATTGTTCTTGAGCTGTGGAGATGGGGAGCTGATCTCTGATGCAAGCAAAGGAGCCTCAGGACTAATAGCAGACACCCATTTTGATCAGATTTGCCAATTATGTCTATATCCCCAAGTACCACAGGTATCCCAAGTCCTCAGATCAGGATTTCATGAGACACCCCAAGCTTTTGTTCATGGAAGCCGCCTCTGGGATCACATGACCTGTTAGTTCCAAGCAACCAGAGTCACATCACTCCCTTCCTGTAAGTGACATCAGCTTGCGACAGTGAGATCTTGTACAGTTCTATGGGAAACCTGTTCCCTTGCTGCCCTGTAAAGTATTTTAGCTTCAAAAACTATGCACAGATTTCTCTCTTCTATGCATGGCAAAGACATTTGTTGGTCTGGAAAAAGCTTCTGGATATAGCCATACTGATTACTAGACAATGGGCAAAAAAAAGCTTCAGGACTCTGAGAAACACAGAGAGCCCCACAGCCAACAAACTCTAGCAGAGCCTGGATGATATGGTTGAGAAGATCCACAGAGCAGTTAACAGTACTCAGCAGCTTCATTGCATCTGACCAAAAGCAGGGAAAATAGGATCTGCAAACAGAATTTCTGCAATAGTAGTAGCACCAGTGACTACAAGTCTAATTCCACATCCAACCCAACAATTCCTCATTCACACAATAGACTAGTAAACACTCTTACATATATGTCTTGTAAACCAAGAGCACATTACAAGATTCCACTGTTCTTTTCTTTTAAAAGATTATTTACATTGATTTAAAAAAACTGGTTCATCATCCTTTTTTCATAGATGTATACAAGGCACTTTTATCACATTCATCCCCTCCAGCCTCTCATCCCCTCTCCTCCTGTTACCTAGTATACCCACCTACTATACTTTAAAACTACTGTCCTCAAATACACAACATGCTGTGGGTCTGGAGACAGTGATTAAGAGCACTTACTGCTCATGCAGAGGATCTACGTTCAGCACCCATATCACGAGGCTCACATTTGCCTCTAACTCCAGTTCCAGGGAATCCAACACCCTCTGGTCTCTGTATGTACATAGTACGAATAAACTTACACAGGCGCACATACACAAATAAATGACAAATCTTTTTAAAAACCTGCAATATCTGTTACCCTCTACCTCAAATACATCCCCTTCTCCTTTAAAATCCTTTTTAAACTTTTTGTTTACCTAGAGACAAGAGAAACAGAAACTGTATGAGGAAAAGAAAAACTCCCAGAAAACATAGTGAAGGATTTCACTGAAGCTTCTATAGACCTTGACAGGCTCCTCAAAACACTGACATGGCCAGATCCCAGCACATGGGCAGCAGAGGCAGGTGGATCTCTACAAAATGAGTTCCAAGCCAGCTTGGGTTACAGAAAGACCCTGCCTCACAAAACAAAATAAAGCAAACAAAAAGCACTGACAAGGGCCCAATAGGCACATATATGTTCACAAAAAGCAGCAGACCAGGTAAACCACCACAGTGAGTGCAACAGCTTCTCAAAGCTCAGGAGTGACCCAGAGAAGGATGCTACCAGCCCAGGAGGTCAGCTCCTGATGTTACTGCCCTGAAGACCCTCCACTGGGATGAGATGGGAAGTGGGGGATGGTGATCCCGATCCTACCCTGCTCAGCCTAGGTGGAAGTATGTGTGTGTGTGTCCCAACTTTTAACAAAACAGCTTTTAACAGCTTAAAAATAGGTGAGAGCATATGAAATAAAGATTTAAGGAGATAAGATATTTTCATGCTGGTGTGAACTATTTTAAGCTAATTTTTTTGGGGGGGTCCTTTTGAGACAGGGTGTCCCTATAGCCCCAGCTGGCCTTGAACTCGCTATGAAGACCAGGCTGGCCTTGAACTCAGAGACCAGCCTGCCTCTGCCTCCCAAGTGCTGAGATTAAAGGTGTGCGCCACCATGCCCAGCTTAAGCTAATTTTTTATAAAAGTAAATTTTTTAAATATTTTATTATTTTATGTGTATGAATGTATTGCCTGTATGTGTGTAAAACCACCTGTGGCATGCAAATGTTCTCGGAAATCAGAAGAAAGTGTCAGATTCCCTTGGAAATGGAGTCACAGATGGTTGTTAGCCACCATGTGGGTGCTGGGAACCAAACTCATCTCTCTAGCCCCAAAGTCAAGTTTTTTCAAAAGGTTAAATTTATAAAGTGAAAATGTTAGAATAAACTAATTTATTGAGCAAAGAATTTTTTTTTTCAATTGTAGTGTAGCCTCAGTGTGCAACGTTCAGAAAGCCAGAGACAAGAGAAACAGAAACTGTGTGAGAAAAAGAAGAAAAACTCCCAGAAAACATAGTGAAGGGTTTCACTGAAGCAGTGAAACAGTTAGCAGCTGTATCCTAGACACTGCCTCACTGTCTCACCCAGGACCATTTCCAGCCCTGCAAGCTCCATGCCAATACAATGTAGACTTTTTTATCTTTTTAAAAATATTTTATTATTTTTATTTTATATGTATGAGTATATTACCTACATGTATGTAAGTACACTCGTGTCATGCATTGCCCAGAGAGGTCCGAAGAGGATGTCAGACCCCCTGGAACTGGAGTTATGGACATTAGCCACGATGTGGGTGCTGGGAATCAAACCCAGGTCCTCTCCAATAGCAGTCAATGCCCTTATAACTGCTGAGCCATCTCTCCAGCCCCGCCTTTTTTTTTTCTTAATCTTTTATACAGTGTTTTTACTGTACCTTTTCTATGCGGAGATGTGATCACATGTAAATACTTCCACTGTGTTACTAGCTGCCAGCAACGTTCAATACAGTAGCATGCTGTACATGTCTATAGCCAGGGCGTGCAGTAAGCTGTTCCTTGTAGATCTGGGTAAGCATGCTCTGTTGTGTCAGTGTGGTTTGTTCTCACAACAATGAAATCACCTGAGGACATATTTCTAAGAAAACATTCCCATCATGCAGCAATGCATGCCTCCATACATAAACCAGCAACAGCCGTTATTATAAAGAACTATTTACTGTACTTAACTGTATGCGGTGCACTTTTAAATGGCCAGCTGCACAGGCTTGTTTATACCAGCATCACCACAAAAATGTTAACACACAACATTTTCAGTCCCATTATAATCTCAAAGAATCACCCTTGTACATGTGGTCTCCCATTGACTGCAATGTCATTAATGAGGTGTGACTAAGCACATAATGCTACAGCATTTATTCAGAGAATTAAATCAGTGGTCCTTGTTATACCAGTTACTTCTTATAATCAAGGACAAAACTTTGCTACACTACACTATGCCTGTAGCAAACTCTGGCAGCACTGACAGTCCTATAATAAACAACTCTTGAGTTCTACTTTCCTCCCATCTTTTTAAGCAGCTCCTCCCACTGATTAGCCAGCAGTACTGGTAGACATGATGTTCTTTGGGGCTCAAGTCACTTGCCACTAATGAAAACCAAATACAAAAATACATACCATTTTCTTTCCAGAAGGTTCCCAAAGAGAAACATCGCCCCATGATGTATTATAAAAGTATTTCTCTCCTGGATCAAAGCCTTTAAGATCCTTTAAAACAAACAAATAAAAAAGACCATTATGCAACAATTCATAAGTTACAAAATAAGTTACAAGAGCCTGCCTAGCAGATCTGAGGCCCTATGTACAATCCTCTACTACCAAAATTTAGCACCTAATAAATCTACATGAGCAGAAAAAAGTAGTCATTAGCAAATTTTGACAGGATACCCACTAAAGTATGAGAGCCAAAGAAAAGGTTTAAAGTTAAAACTACAATTTTATAAGAAATAAATGAGGAGCTAGAGAGGTGGCTCAGCAGTTAAGAGCACCAACCGCTCTTACAAAGGTCCTGGGTTTGGTTCCCAACATCCACATAGTGGCTAACAACTGACGATAAATAACTCCAGTTCCAGGAGATCTGACACCCTCTTCTGGCCTCCACGGGCACTGAATGATATGAGTGTACTTACATACATACAGGCAAAACATACACATAAAAATAAATAAACTGAAGGAAAAAAAGAAATAAACAGATGAGATGGCCAAAAAAAATTTTTATCTACATTTTGTATTTGTAAATGAGGCCTAAATGTACATAAGGATTCTAAAACTCGTGAAGCTTTGTGAATACACATAAATAAATGTATTTCATTGAGAAGAATTTTTATAGTACCTTTAAAGTGGCACTTTGGCACTATTCAATCCACTTGTCTTAGAACATGAAAAGAGAAGTGTGTTTTTATCTTTCCATCTGATTACCTTTCAGGGCAGACATTTTAGCCAAGATCCAAAAAATACTCCAAGTTTTTTCCAGCCAGAAGTAGTCATTTTTTTGCTCAAAAAAAAGGGGGGGGGGGGG